TTATAAAAAGGGGAAATTTGGACACAGAGACATAAGCCCACATGCCATGTGAAAATGAAGGCAGAGATTGGGGTGATGCATCTACAGGCTATGGAACCCCAAAGATTGCCAGCGAGCCACCGGAAGCTGGGCTGAGCTTTGGAACAGGCTGCCCTCACATCCTCAGGAGGAAGTGTATAATAATAAAACCAAATGAAATGATGAAGTACTGCCATTTGTGATGATACGGATGGGCCTTGAGAATATCATGCTAAGTGAAATAAGTCAGAGAAAGTTAACAATCATATGATTTCACTCATATGTGGGATATAAAACTGACACAAATGAACAAACAGGAAAACAAAAACTCATGGACACAGGCAACAGTAGGTAATTACCAGGAGGAAGTGAATTGGGGAGTGAGTGAAGGATAAATAAGGTCAAATATATGATGTAAGTAGATTTGACTTTGGGTGGTAGGCATAAAATGCAATATACAGAGGATGTATCATAGAAATGTACGCTTGAAATCTATATAATTTTATTAGCCAATGTTACTGCAATACATTTAATTAAGAAAACAGGAAGAAAGATGTCAACTATGAGCATTGTGTTAAATAAAAACATTGGCTAATAAAAAATAAAAATAAAACCAACTAATAAAGAGTAGAGGCAAAATATATAAATAAGAAAAGAACACAAAAGAGTTAAAATATGGTTCTTTCAATAGAAGAATAAAGTTGATAAACTCCTACCATGTGGTGACAGTTAACACGTGTATACGTTTGTCAAAACTCATTTCCTATACATTTAAAAATGATGTATCTTATTGTATATAAATTATACTTCCTTTACCTACTGATTTATTGACTTCACATGATTTTAGAAGTTACAGAAACTTTAGTAGTTTTCATTGTAATTATATTTTATCAATATTATTATGATTTGTATTTATTATATCTAGTGATAACATTTTCTAGACTAGGAAACTAGGAGAAAAAACATGCCTAAAATTCAGAAACAAAATGCTGGAGCTAGAATTCAATTATATTTCATCTGTTTGAACCTTCACCTGGGCTCTGAGCTTTGTCTGCCATTAGAAAAGATTTGACTTAAAGGACAGAGCCTTTGGAAACTTTTAGAAGTTTGTGCCTCAGTATGACTTAGATCATGGCTCTTCCTCAGAGCAGGCTGCATGGATGGAATGTAACTGAAATGAGAGGCGTCCCTTAGGGCAGCCTCAGAGAGGAGGAGGGCTCTCAGGACAGGCTCTGCCTGTTGACAGCCTTGTTTGGGGTGAATTGGCCCCATGGTTTGCTGTGATCCTGGATTAATTGAACTACATAGCTCACTGAGCAAATTGGTCAGGCTTGAGTGGGAAGGGTGGAATCCTTGTCCCTCCTGAGGCTGGCATTTGTGAACTTTTATGAAATCCCTATAAATATCTGATGGGGAAAAACAGAGTTCTTTAGTTCACATGCTCTGCAGGGGAATGTTTTAAGGTAATAGAGCTGGCTTTAGAGATGTTTCTCTCACAGAATAGTGGGGATATTTCCTTTTTATTCTAGAAAGTTCTAAGAAACTTTCTGCTGGTATTCCAGACCCTTTTGGTGAGTCTAGTTCGTGATTTCTAGGAAAGGTTGGCTATCCATAGAGTATCTCCCCTCCCCAGAGTTCTAACAACAGACAGCCAAGTGGATCCCTGTACAATTGACATGTTGCAAACAGGTGCGAAGGTAAATCAGAACTGAAAGAGTGAGAACTGTGAGCTCTCTTTTAGATATTGCCTCTTTGTTTAAAAGACAAGAGTCTTCAAGCCACACTGAACTGTTTTCTTTTTCTTGCCTCCCACTCAGGACTGGGTTTCTGGAAGTTGCCATCATCCAGCTCTGTCTCCTGAAAAACCTGAGGTTTCAGGACTTTAATTCCCGACGGTGCTGAGAGATTCAGATGTATCAGGGTCCCCCAGCTGCCACTGGCCTCTGCTTGATGCAGCGCCATCTCAGGTCTGATTCTTATTGGAAAAGGGGGTGCACTGAAGGGGGCAGAGGTGTGCTATCTTATACCTGTAGAACTTAGGGTCAAGAAGAGAATAGAAGTGCATATTAATAATATGCAATCAGTATGTATTGATACTGATGAGTGATACTGTGATTCTGTAATACTCTGATGCTGATTGTTCTAATATTAATGATACCGACATTGGCTATACAAGACCCATAATCACCTCTGCTCCCAGCCAAAAGTCACATCCTCTTTCTCAGGTTGGAGTAAGGGATAATATAGGCAGTGGAAGAGAGAAGAGAATTGTCTAGTGAAATCCTAGGGCTAATTTCTCTTTATTCCTCACATGGTTTGTGCTCAGCTTGTGCTGTGCGTTTTCCCTTTGCTCAGCTCTTGAGTCTTCTTCCTTCTTTTTCTTTTTCTTTTTTTTTTTTTTTGAAGATTTTATTTATTTATTTTTAGAGAAAGGAAGGGAGGGAGAAAGAGAGAGAGAGAAACATCAATGTGTGGTTGCCTCTCATGTGCCCCATACTGGAGACCTGACTTGCAACCCAGGCATGTGCCCTACACTGGGAATTGAACAAGTGACACTTTGGTTCTCAGGCTGGCACTCAATCCGCTGACTCACACCAGGTCTGACTTCTTCCTTCTTTTCCCCACATGTGCATTTTCCTCCTTTGTCTCTGATTCCTGCCATCATTCCCTAATCTCTCTGTCCCCTCTTCCCCACTACTACTTTTTGAATATTACATATAAAATGCTGATGTATTTGCCCCATCCTGAAGTTTGCATCCATTAGGTAGTCAGGACATGCACGGCACACATCAGTGGTTTTCTTCTTTACTTCTTTAAGGTTTATGGGTTTAAATGGGCTCTGCCTGGTGGTTGGAGTCTGATGCTTTGCATGGCAGGGTTGGGTAGAGTGTTAGCAATTGCCATGGAGCCTCAAGGCTTGAGTTCTGATCCTGGCTCCTCTCTGACTACGGTCGGCTAACCTCTGCCCCCAGCTCAGCCTGAAGTGTACAAAATAGGACAACATGAACTTGCTTTATGGGATATGGTAAAATCAAATGAACAAAAGATATTAAATAAAAAATGAGGGAAGGGCTACAATTAAAAACACATGATTCAACACACACACATACACACACACACACACTTTAACATCGGAAGGCCATTAGCAAGAAAGTGATTTGATTGGTAAAGTCTGGAAGGCTTTGCCAAGGACATGGAATTTCATCTACGAACTCTGTATATAGGTAGCTATGGGGAGGGAGGGTAGATTTGAGGAAGGTCATCGGGCCACCGTGAAGTATGGGAGATTCGGAGACCAGATGGTCTGGGCAGTGTCAGGCTTGGCTGGGATATACATAAGCTGAAACACTGAGAAGAACAAGTGGAAAGCCAGGTGACTGAGAGAGTTAGAGGGCTCTGAAAGCCACAGTGACTATTTCAGTTACTGCATTTGAAAATGATAGCAACAATTTTATTATATTTATGATTCATTATATTTTTCAAAACTTTTCAAGGGGTGATGAGGAGGTAAAAAGAGGGAGAAGACAGAGTGAGAAGTGGGCATATCTGAAATTGTGTCTTTTCTCTCCGTTTAGAAATACAGAGGATCCATGTGAGGATGCGCTTCAAGAATTCTAAGATTGGCTGTTTGTAATACTGATGTTTATGAAATACCAGGCTGGCTGTCTGGTATGTATGAGCTAATAATTCTCACATTAAAAACTCACATAAACATCTCACTAAGTATTATTTTCTTCCAAATTGTGTGAGACACTTATTGAATATTAGATAGTGTGTGAAAGGTATTACATTCTATGTGTTGTGAATATAACACTGACTCTGTTTTAGGGCAGTGAAAATACTCTGTAGGTTTTTATAATGATGGACACGTATCATTACACATTTATCCAGACCCATCACGTATATCACCATGAGTGAGCCCTAAGGTAAACTATGGATTTTAGGTAATAATGATGCATCAGTGTAGGTTCACCTATTATAGCAGATGCACCTCTCTGGAGGGGGTGTTGATAATGGTTTGTGGGATGTCATGTGTGAGTGAAGACAGGGATTATATGGAAAATCTCTATAGCTTCCTCTCAGTTTTTCTGTGAACCTAAAACTGCTTTGAAAAATAAAGTCTTAACAGCAATGCCATTGACAACAGATGATCCTACTGAAGTTGAGAGGAGATTTTAATTTTGCTGTGCCCCACAGAAACTGATTGAAAGTGAGTACCCTGATCTTTCTTTCAGAAAGGAAGTGGCATGTCAGAGGCACCATGTGATCATATTTGGGATGCCCACAGGCCAGTCTACTTTGTTGGGGCCACTTGTATGCTTCACACTGTGTTTCGAAGTACGAGGAATAGAAAGGCAGATGTCTTCAGAGGAACTCTGACATCTTGAAGGAGGGAGACCCTTCATTACACATCAGCTCCAAGTCTAGTGGTACTAAACTTAGGAATGAATGATGACTAGCTTTTGTTAAATAAATCTGAGTGGTAGTTTTTTCTTAGGTGCTGGATAAATCTTAGTAAGATCTATTCTCATGTTTTGTATGCCTCCAAAATTTACATTTCACCACTAACAATATATTCAAACCTCGTGACCTGGCCTTCTTGGCTTTCAGTTAGGAAGAAAACTTACTTTTCCAAGCTTTCCTCCTGCAGCTTGAGAATCTGGCTACAATAACGGTTTCATACTGATCTTTTTTCTATTTGCTGACACAACATTTGCCTTATCAACATTAATAGGCATGTGCCAAATGCAAAAGCTTTGGTCCAATGCAATGAGTTTCTGAACAACAGACAGACCTGGGAGGGCCTTGAACATCTGCAGATTTACAAAGATACATAGGGGATTAAAGGCAGTTGGAGGTAACAGGATGGGGCAGAAACAAGGAGTTTAGAGTTCAGTCACTGATCTTTTCAAGTGGACTCTTCTTTTCTTCTGTCTGCTGATCAAACCTTTGTCAACTGCATCTTACCTATAGCCACCAGCATGGCAATGAATAACAGTGTGATTGAATTCATTTTGTTTGGGTTGACACAGGATGCAGGGAAGCAGAAAGCAGTATTTATGGTCTTCCTGATTCTTTACCTTGCAACGCTGTCAGGGAACTTTCTCGTTGTAGCGACTATTAAAACAAGCAGGACGCTTGGGGGTCCCATGTACGTCTTCCTGTTCTACCTGTCCTTTGCTGATGTCTGCCTCTCTACAACCATGGCCCCCAGATTGATTGTGAATGCCATTTCCCAGAATAAGACCATTTCCTACAATGAGTGTATGACTCAGGTCTTTGCAGCCCATTTCTTTGGGTGCATGGAGATCTTTGTGCTCATCCTCATGGCCTTTGATCGCTATGTCGCCATTTGTAAGCTCTTGCGATACCTGACCATCATGAGTCAGAGAGTCTGTGGCATGTTGGTGATTTTGGCCTGGGTGGGGTCTGGTATCCACTCTACAGCACAGATTTTCCTAGCTTTGCAATTGCCCTTCTGTGGCCCCAATGTGATTGATCACTATTTTTGTGACTTGCAGCCTTTGATGAAACTTGCCTGCATGGACATGTATGTGATAAATCTGCTACTTGTGTCTAATAGTGGGGCCATTTGCATGGTGAGTTTTATAATCCTGTTTATCTCCTATGTTGTCATCTTGTATTCTTTGAGAAACCACAGCACAGAAGGAAGGAGAAAAGCCCTTTCCACATGCACAACCCACTTTATTATGATTGTCATATTTTTTGGTCCATGTGTATTCATATACACTCGCCCACCAACCACATTTTCAATAGACAAGATGGTGGCTGTGTTTTATACAATTGGGACACCCTTGCTCAACCCTCTGATCTATACACTGAGGAATGAGGAGGTGAAAAATGCCATGAAAAAGTTATGGTGTAACAAAGTATGACTTCAGTTGTTAAATACTGTATGGGAACTCCAATGTATACTTCATTAATAACTTAGTCTTGTTTCATGGGCAGGAAGGGTAAATATTCTTTTGGGGAAACAAAAAAGAAATCTGAGAGGATTGCATTAGAACATGGTTATTACTTAAAGTCCATAAGCATTCAAACAGTTTAGGATGAACTTTACTTGAATTCTATCAACATTTGGTCATACTCATTAGGTAATTTATCTTCCTATACAAATTTTTCTTCAGAAAAAAAATACTGATGAATGACAGAATAAGTGTGTGTGCATGTGTGTGTGTATATGCACCATATTTTTTCTATACTTCCTTTTTGTCCTTATGAATGTGGTCATCAGAGCTAATCCATAAGTTCTGGACACTTACAGAGTCAAGGTTGCCATCTGAGATTAGAAAGATGTTCTGAGGATTTGCTACTGTGGAAATCTGTGCCTAAGTCTACTTCACTGGGAGTATCTATATTGATGAACCCTCTGACTCCAATATAAGCTAGAAACATCAGTGAAAACCTAGACTGTCTCTGGAGAGCCTCTCAAATTAATTCTGTGAGTGGTGAGGGAAGGGGGATTGTTATATTTGGACGAGATAGCACTTTCAGCCAGTCAGTTGTTCTTTGGGGTCTTTCCACTGCTCTTCACAAGGGAGAGGAAGAGGCAGTAGAGAGATTGGCAGCAGGAGTATGCGTAAGGAAGGGTCAGGGAAGAAGGGAGGACAGAGAACAAGGAAAAGAGAGAGAAAGGGAGAAAGGAAAGTGGAAATCTTGTTCAATTGGGAGAGGAGCTTTATCTTTCTTACTTCTTGAGTATCACTTCTGGGTATATGAACACTTGCAGGAAAAAAACGAAGTCTCAGGGTACTCCCCTGTTGTTAACCTTCCTTAGCTTTTATGCTTATTTGGGTATCAGGAAAGAAGGTTTGTTGTTGTTGTTTGCTTTTATTGTATCTCAAAACTCAAAATTCAGATATTTGAGGAAGAATCAGGTTAAAAGTGAGGTCTAGTACCTCTCAACTTTGGTCTTTTAGGTTTATAAGAGAATGTTTTAAAATGTGTATTTTAATCTTTTAAGAGAACCTAACCTATGTGTATAATTCACACCCACCATCATCTCCACTTCAACCTCATAATGTTATAATTAAGTGCTGTCATGCCATTTCAGTACCTGAGTTTACAATTACCATTAAATGGGCACCAGAAAGTGTTACTTTTAGTCATATGAGCTAATGAGAAAGGAACACTATAAACTCAAAAGTATGTAACACGTTTCCATCAACTGAAGACAAAATGTTATGTTGCACCAAAGATTCGCAATTGTTCTGCTTTAGACAAGTGGTGGCAGAATAAACATTTCAGTCCCAAATGGGACATTTGTCAGAGCTCTTAATACCATATTCATAGGGTAGCTATTTGGTCTCATACTTCTTCCAAATGAATAATTTTCTTAATTTTATGTCTTACAGTTCTGTTTTGAGAGCATTTGAATCTGGCCCTATGAAGACTATGTTTAAGTGCAATTGATTCTTAGGTAACCAAGACATATTCAGAATAAAACCTCAATTCTTATCTCTTGTTATTCCTTCAAATTTATTATAGTGTGTGAAAAGGCTTGTTTGTGACTAAATGAAAACTCAGAAAGCTTAGGAATTTCCTTCTCATTATGAGATAATATTAAGCCTAGAACACCTTAGATTTTACATAAGGGCTCAATTAGAGAATGTGGGAAAACAGAACAGAATAAGTAGACGGGAATCACAGGATGAAGTGCAACTTGGACGAGACTTGGACATTGGAGTTCCCATACAGTATTTAACAACTGAAGTCATACTTTGTTACACCATAACTTTTTCATGGCATTTTTCACCTCCTCATTCCTCAGTGTATAGATCAGAGGTTGAGCAAGGATGTCCCACTTGTATAAAACACAGCCACCATCTTGTCTATTGAAAATGTGGTTGGTGGGCGAGTGTATATGAATACACATGGACCAAAAAAATATGAAAATCCATTAATAGTTTCTAAAGACAAGCAAATCTACAAAATCCTCTAGGACAAGTTGAAGTTTGGAACTGCAACTGGTTAGTTACCTGACTTGAGCAGCAGCTTGTGGGAGGATCACATAAGGGCCAAACTAATAAGAGCGTTGGAGAGCTACAGAAATGGCCTTGACCCAGGGTGCCCCACCCTGGGTATGTTGGGGGAATTATGCCTGCTGGTAGGAGCCATTTTTAGTAGCTTGATAGTAAGATTCCTCACCAAAGCTTCTTGCCAAGAAACGATGAGTTACTAGAAGAAGGTATCACTGGAGAGTTGATAAAGAAATGCCTGATAGTGTGGAAGTAGTTTTGGCACCAAGCATTCTAAATAATTAAAGAGTTGCATCAGCCTTGGGGACCAAGAGTCCATGTTGGAGGGAGATATTGACCACAGTTGGCCGTGTACATCAGGGAATATACTTTTTCCTTCTCTGCTTTGTGAGCAAAAGGCAGTGCTGGAGTCCAAAGCGTCTGTAACTAAGACTGATAAAAAAAACAACACATCACCATCATTGTCTCAATATAGCTCATGACCCCAAGGAGTTACATCTTAGAGAAACACTTGGCATATGTATGTAAAAGTCTATACATTAGCTAATAAGTCACACTGGATTTTTTTTTTTAAATTGAAGACTTATTTTTTAGAACATTTTTTTGTTTAGCAGGAACATTGACTGGAAGGCACAGAGAATTCCCATATATCCTGTGTATACATAGCTTCACATACACGTGCATGGCCTCCCCCCATTATCGATGTTCCCTACCAGAGCGCTGCGTTTGCTACCCTTGGAGAGCCTACATTGGCGCACCATAATCACCCAAGCCCATGGTTTGCCTTAGGGTTCTTTCTTGGTGTAATATGTTCTGTGGGTTTGAACAAATGTATAATGACTTGAATCCATCATTATAGTATCTTACTGAGTAATTTCATTGCCCTGATAATCCTCTGTGCTCACTTATTCCTCTACCTACACCTCTGTCAATCTTCATATTGAATTATTAAATTAAAAAATAAGAATAAAGTAAAGCTATCTTTAATTAGGCCATCTTTTTGCATTCTTCATTTTTAAGGAATTTCTTATAGGGTAAAGTAGCTGCAGATTCAAGATTCTGGAGGTTCGTCTATTTATAGAGCTGTGTAACAAATCAATGAGAGATACATCTCATTGATCATTTTCCAAACAGAAGATCTTGTTTTACTAGGCTAGGCTTTTGAGCCCAGGCTAAATTCTGGGGAACAAAGGACTTTATGATATCATGCAATATTCTAACATCCTTTATTGTCATACCTCTCTGCACCTCCACAAGTCACCTTTAATTAATATAGGTATGTAGATATAGATGGAAACATTTTTATACATATGTTTCTTATTAATGGAAACATAATCATATACCTCGGATCTAACTTTCTAGATTATATAATTTAATAATATTTAATACATAAGGGAAAGTTTTTCTGCTTCAAAGCCTCTCTTCCCTTCATAGGACACCATTCTATTTTAGTGTTCAAATATTTTTTCTCCTAATGCGATACAGATAAATTGAGTAAGAACTGAACCTCTGGTTTTAGGCACCATACTGGATTGTACCTGCAAATACATGATAAGAACTAGAAAAGTTTCTGTCTCCTGATGCTGGAGGGTCAGCTTAGGACCCTGGATGGGAGCAGAGTAATTTCTTGCTGATCCAATTCCTCTTTTACAAAAGACACTGCTGTTCCCTCTTCCTCTTTGTCCTTTATCACCCTCAGTCAACCACTGTGTAGTGCTCTTATTGCCTGATACCTTTGGCCATCCTGGGGCACCTAATGCCTCCAAATCTGCGTTTGTTTTTTTGTTACTGAGGATGAGGAGGGTTAACTTACTCTTCTGCAGGCTTGGTAGATAGACCCAAGTTAAGTTTACTATAATAGGTGGGATGTTTCTGATTAGCGAAGGAAGGGGAACGCTAGGGAATACCACTCTCCAGGATGCTAATATTTTATATCATTATGTCTTAAAATTCTCAAGGGAATCCTTGAGAATGCAGAAAGGGATTTTACTGCCCAGCATTTTATAGAAGGATGCTTTTAGAAACAGATAAAAACACGACACCAGTTTAGAGTGTTCTAACAGGTAAGTGACAGGTTATTTACATCTTTGTACTCAGAAGCATAGCATTACAACATAATCCAACACGATTTTAAAATATATTTCTGTATGTCTTATACTACACCTACTTCCTCTGAGAAAGGAACAGAAAAGAGAATTTTTTTTAGAAGTTTACTGTTAGTATAGTAAATAGGTTGAATGTAAACGAGCTTTGGAATAAAAGTCTTTTGAATTGAGAAATATTTTATGAGGTATGTGAAGAGCCATCATTGTGGGGGGAGAGAAAAATGAATACCATGCCCTAAAGTTTATTAAAGTTTCTTGAGGTGATGAAGCGTAGAAAAGTTCTCAAATGCTTTTCATGTATGGTAGCTGAGGAAGATGATTCTTCATTATGGGTATTAAAAGTTAGAAGAAAATATGTGTAGCTGGAAGTCAGAGAAACTGTTAATAGAGGAGTGACAGGTTTAAGTGGAATGTTGTATATCACCATCTCAAATTACTGCCCTTTGCATGTTGCTAGAATGATATCACAAGAGCATAATTTGCAGTTGATACACATCTGAGATGTCGTTTGAAAGGCTGAGTAACTACTTGTTACGGAAAGTTTAGAGAAACCATGACAATGTGAAGGCTAAAAACTACAATGAAGGGGAAAGATAATGTGTCATGTGAGTGGAGGGAGTTTTTATGATTCTTTTATCTGGGCTTTTGAGGGATAAGAAATTTTGGTATAATCTCTTAATTTTTCCACAGAGAACGGTAAATGTTGCAGAGACGTGAAATGAGTACAGGGAGTTTCCCAAAGGCTGAGGTATAGAAGTATATTCAGGAAGTTTCCAGCCACGATGAAGAGCCAATTCCTGTAATGAACCAACAGGATTAAGCTGGTTCTTCGGTGACTTGGAAGGGTCAGGCATGAAGGGGTCAGGAACTGCGAAGCAAATAGTTGCATGGGCTGTCACAATGTTGGTGGCACCCTCTGCTGGGGCCCTAGGCTTCCAGCTTCTTACTGGTCCCTTTGCCTGTGCAGGTTGTGCCACCAACGGCTACTCCGGAGGTGAAAGTGGGCACGTATGTTTGCACATTGGACCTTTCACATTCATAAACCGGGATGTCCTTGGCCTTCCTGTCGTAATCATGTAATATCTGAATCAGTGTTGCCCTGCTTTAGCGTAAATCATCTTCTCCAAACTGAAGGTCCCTCTGTCTTCGCGCTCCGAAGGTGAGGCCTGGGAGCAAGGCCGGGTCTGGCACTGGCGAGTAGACAGGGCCTGGCGACACGAGGAAGAGCCGACAGGATGTCCTCTCTCTGCAGGTTGGCCAGTCCCCAAGGGCAGCGCTCCAGCTGCATCCTCGCGTCGCCTCGCCTCCAGCGTCCCTCCTGCGGAGAGGATGCGTGGGGGGCGGGGGTGGAGGCTTGGTGCGCCAGATTCATCATTTTAATGATAGAAACCCTAGGAAAAGCGCATACAAACCTCGAAAGTGAGCGAAAGAGGTGCCTATACCAGAAAATCCCAATCCCCCACCCTCTCTTTTTTTTTGTTCTCTAGCTGTTGTCCTCACAGAGGGACTGTTTGCAGCCCAAGTGCATCCCTCAGGTCTGCGAGCGGGAGGAGAGGCAGGGCTCTTTATTCATGCACATGAGCTTCATGGTTTTTCTCTTTTTCAGTGAGAGCATCAGTAGGAGAGAGGAATAGATTGAGAGTGTGTAGTTTTGTCTGAGTAGGCGCTATATTTTTATAGACTTAGAGAGTTTGGCTTAATTCCTCATCTCAGGTTATCATCATCTGCGTGTCAAAATTAGAATGCCTGAAATGGTTCAAGGACCATAACTTTAGAGGTTATCTGGTTTTATATGAAATAATTATGTAAAAAATAGGTAATAATTAAGTGAAATAGTGGGATTGTTAACACAAGTTTATTCTGTTGCTTTCACTACATTTAAAAAAAATGTATAAACTCAGGCTCTAGACTCAGAAAATTCTGGTTTCAGGTTCTGATTTGCTAATTACCAGTTAGGTGTTCTCTAAATCCTTTATCAGAACAGCCTCACCTAATTTTTATCTCTCTAGGCCTTAGAGTCTAAGGTATTACTCCTGTATGTGCTTCAAACTGAATCTTAGTACCATATTCGTTTGCATAATGTCATATTTTTAAATTCTTCATCCCATTTTAAATTCAAAACTCATAACTTTTTATTTAAGAGGCGAGTTATTTCTCTACATTTTAGATAAAGAATGGTATTGAAGGATATAAAGTTAAGAGTTCACACTTAAAATTGATGACTGCATCAAGAATTGAAGCTAAAGATCTTCTCAGATTCTAGAATTGAGAAGCCAGAAATACAGGTTGTAGTTTATATATAGTGGAACACATGGGTATAGTTTAAATAAAAAAAAAAAAGTTGCCAAGAAGGAAAAAAAGTGTTGTCTGTGGCCTTGGGAGTGGAGAAAATGAAAGATTCAAGAGATATTTAGCAAAATTGTTTGGTTAGGAGATCAAACCATATTTGATTAGCAGGAAAATAAATTTTGTATCAAGTTAAGATAGAATGATTTGCTTTGCCTGAATATTCTAACAACCTTAGTTTCATCAGAAGCCTAATTTTCTGTATGAACCAATATTTTCTTGTTTGGTTTCAGGGAAGGGGGAGGGGAAAGCAATTTAAGTGACATTTTCATGCATGTAATTAAAATAGCAGTTTTTATTTATATATATTCAAATGAACAAACAATTACTCTAAGAGTAAATTTTAAACCAGTATTTTAAATATTATTTTTAAAATAGTATTTATTTATTTATAAGTAGGGAAATCTTTAAATGGTATACTTGGAGTCATGAAAACTTACTGTTAAATGGCTCCTTTATAAGATAATTCTAACTCTTAAAATTGCACCATAGAAATAATTTCATTTATTTTAAAGCTCCATGGCAAAGGAATTTTAAGTTAGAAAGTGACACAATTAAGTTAATCCATAAAAAAGTGATGAGAATTTAAAAATTAATTAATAAGAAAATATAGCTGTGAGATTGCTGCAGAAGGTGTAGCACAAATTTTCAGAGAAGATGCTATGTATTTATGATACAGTTTGGGGTCAAAATTTATAGCGAAGAGCATTGTACCATGTGGTTATCAGTTCTATGCTATTTTTCACCTGCATTGACTGAAACTAAGGTAGCAGAAGCTATGGTCAACCCCTACTGAATTGCCTATATTTCCATATGTAAAATCATGCTGGTTTAATATAATTGCTAAATAATGAAGAAATTCAAACTATCCTTATTATACTATATATTTTCTATGTACTTTTTATTAAAATACCTTCTATTTAAAACTAGGTGATTTGGCTAATAGATCTCAAAGTTTCCTTCCTGTTCAAAAGAATTTTATGATTTTAAAATATCATTGTCTATATGGGAGTCATATTCACTGGACTTTACTATTAACAATTTTGGATTACTGATTTGGTAATACAGTAAGATAATAAAATCTGCAATGAATACTTCTATGGTTAATCAATTAATGATCACTTACTGATCATTATTGATCATTTGTGACAAAGTCCACGCAGATTTCCTCATTTCACCAATGAAGTAACTTAAGTTCAAAGAAATAAAGTGGTCTGTGCCCAAATTCATGCATTGGTATAATTAGTCATAGAACCTAGGTCCCAACTGTTTGTTTTCATATGAACCTTTCCCACAAACTTCCCACAAACTTAAAAAAAAATAAATCATGCAGTATCATGATTCTTTATGGGTTTTGGCAAAAGGCATCAATTGGACAAATATAGAACAGAAATTCATACTTTGAGTCAAAGCACTGAGAACAAATTGACTTGCAAAATTTGATACACTGAGTCAAGAGCAAAACCATGAAGGGATAACTGCTGTCTGTTTCTCTTTAAAAATTTTAACAGTTGCTTTGATAACTGTTGTGGTTCTTTATTTTTTAATAGATTTTTTTAAAAAAAAATTATTTATTTATTTTTAGAGAGGGGGAAGGGAGGGAGAAAGAGAGGAAGAGAACATCAATGTGTGGCTGCCTCTTGTGTGCCTCCTACTGGGGACTTGGCCTGCAACCCACACACGTGCCCTGATGGGGAGCAAAACCAATAACCCTTTGGTTCTCAGGCTGGCACTCAATCCATGGAGCCACACCAGCCAGGGCATGTTCTGTGGTTCTTTTAAGTATATGGTTATTTGATGTTCCTATAGAAATAAGTATGCTTCTATTATGAAATGTCAGCTTTTTATGCTCACAAATCACTAAGAAAAAAGTAAAAAAAAAGCCCCAAAATTATTTGAACTAATTGCCTGGGCCTCTTGCAGGGAGTTTTTATCTTCCACTATGTAAGTATAGGTGTATCACTGTATACATCTTTAGTTTTTTTCCCTACATCATTCTAAATTACTTTGAGGAGCACGTGTTCCACTACTGAACACTGTTAAGCTTTGTGTTTGCTTCTATGCCATTAAACAAAAACTTTGTAGATTTATACTTGCATTTTCAACAAATCTGAGTTTGAAAGGATCTAGAGTAATGTCTTTTCCAAGGACTTATATTTATGTTACTTTAGAATTGGAAAATATTTGGCAACTAATAATAATTTTAAAACAATTTGAATTGATTGAGTGCATTCATTTTTATTAATACCAAGGCTGAACATAATTATCTGAAAGACTGACCTATGGAAATCATCATGAGACTAATTAGGAAAAATATTATCAGATTTTCATTTTCTGAAACACTGGGATCCTGTCCATTAATCATAATTTCATAATATTAGTTTTATCATCAATCTTATCCATGAACTTTTCCAACATTGACTTGATGCATCATGTCATTTCAGGGACTGTTATTGCATTTTTACTGCACTGGACCATGGAGAGTGGAAATAATGTCACCGTGTTTATTCTCTTAGGACTATCTCAAAACCGGAACATTGAAATCCTCTGCTTTGTGTTGTTTTTATTTTGCTATATTGTTATTTGGATGGGAAATTTGCTCATAATGATTTCTATCACATGCAGTCCGCTCATTGACAAACCCATGTATTTCTTTCTTAATTACCTCTCCCTCTCTGACCTTTGCTTTACATCAACAGTGACACCCAAACTAATGACCGATTTACTGGCAGAAAAGAAGACCATCTCCTATAATAACTGCATGACACAGCTTTTTATCCTTCACTTCCTTGGAGGCACTGAAATCTTTATCCTTACAGGGATGGCCTATGACCGCTGTGTGGCCATCTGCAAGCCTCTGCACTACACCATCATCATGAGCAGGCGAAAGTGTCACATGATCATTGTAGCCTGTTGCACTGGAGGATGTGTACACTCTGCCAGTCAGTTTCTCCTCACCATCTTTCTCCCATTCTGTGGCCCCAATGAGATAGATCACTACTTCTGCGATGTGTATCCTTTGCTGAAACTGGCTTGCACCGACACCTACAGAATTGGTCTCTTGGTAATTGTCAATTCGGGTCTGATTGCTTTGGTGACGTTCGTGATTTTGATGGTGTCTTATTTTCTGATACTATATACCATCAGGGCTTCCCCTGCAGAGAGCCGTGCCAAAGCTCTTTCCACTTGCAGTTCTCACATCACAGTTGTGGTCCTGTTTTTTGTGCCTGTCCTCTTCGTTTACATCAGACAACCCACAACTTATCCAGAAGATAAAGTGTTTGCTCTTTTCTACACCATCATTGCGCCCATGTTCAACCCTCTAATCTACACACTCAGAAACATGGAGATGAAGAATGCTCTGAGAAAAGTGTGGTGCCGGAAAGCACTTTTGATCGGAAGGCAAATCATCTGAAAGGCATTTTCCCTCCTCACTACAGATCTGTTCAGGTGATATTTGTTCGGCTTAAGTTTATTAAACCAGGAACCGGCTGTAAAAAAATAACCACGACACTTCATTAACATTATAATTTACTATAACATACTTTCTTCTTTACTTATTGATCTGTTTCTTATTTGCATCTTCCCCTAATAATTTGAGTCATCGTTTCCTTGTTCAAGTTCTCTTATGCTCTCCTTTGACTTTTTTTCCTCCTTTAGAGTTCTGTAAGTGGCTAACTGGGGTCACCATTTTAATCTCTTTGCACTTTGGTCCCATGAATGAATAACCAGATGTACAGTAGCAATACTCATACTGACCATCCTAGACCCAGAGAGTCCATATGACCTTGTTATCCTCCCTTTGTATTCTCATAAAAAATGTGCATCAGAAAGCATTTATTTATTTATTTATTGTTAAATACATTTGTCTCCACCTTCTCACCACCACTTTCCCCTGTCCCCTTCCCCCACCTTCCTCCCTCAATCCTTCCCCACTTTGGCTTCATTCATGGGTCCTTCATACATGTTCCTTAACTTGACCCTTCCCTTCCCTTCCCTTTCCCTGACCCCTGCCTCCTTCTCTCTTGACTCTGTTGGTTTCTTTTTTTCTTTCAATGTTGCTGGTTATATTTTCCTTGCTTGTTTGTTTTGTTGGTTAGGTTCCACTTACAGGTGAGATCATATGGTACTTGTCTTTCATTGTCTAGCTTATTTTGCTTAGCATAATGCTCTCTAGTTCTATCCATGTTGTTGCGAAGGGTAGTAGTTCTTTCTTTCTTTCTGCTGTGTAGTATTCCATTGTGTAAATGTACCATAGTTTTTTTGACCCACTCATTTATTTGCATCAGAAATTTAGAACCATTTTTTCTTCCTTCTCATTCCTCCTCTTCCCTCTTCTTTTTTTATAGCCGAGTAGTATTCCATTGTGCAAATGTACCCCAGCTGTTTTATCCATTCATATAATGTGGACACCTGGACTGTTTCCAAATCTTGGATATTGTAAATAATGCTGCAATTAATATAGGGGTGCATATATCATTATACTAAGTGAAATAAGCCAGTTGGAGAAAGACAGATACTTATGATTTCACTCATGTGTGGAATCTAATGAACAAAATGAACTAAAAAGCAAAATAGAGACAGACTCATAGATAGAGAGCAGGCTGACAGCTCTGGGGAGATCTGGAGTCGGGTGGAGAGATTGAGCAAATAATGGAAAAAAAGAGAACTCATGGACGTGGACCACAGTGTAGCATTGCTGGGGGGGATGGGTGGAGGCAGAAGAGGGTATAGGGAGCAATAAAAGATGATGGAAAAAACTCAAAAAACTTCTAGAAAAAATATTTTTATGTAAAAATATGGTTATATAAAAACTGGAAGAATTTTTCCAAAGTGATTTTAATAAAATCATTTTAAAAATCACAGAATTTTAATAATTATAGAAAAAATTTGCTATAAAATTTTCCTTTACATGGTAATGAAATGGTGGCCTTGATTTTAGATAAAGCAGCCACATAATTTATTGTCCCAACTAAGCCACGATGCCACTGCCACTCACCTTTTCCCTAGGGCATCCGTTCTCCTCAGACATTTAAAAGTAGCCAGACATCCTGCTCTTCTGGCACAACCCCATTTATGTCTGGTATTTCAGTAAAACTATAAGTAGATCCCCACTCTTTCACTCAAATATGGCTTAGTTTGGACATAGTGTCTAGTGAAAAATTATAGAGAAGTTCAAGTAGAGAGATATAATTGGAAATGTCTTTAAATAGTGCATATTTGTAGATATATTAAAAACTTAAGAGAATTGTTATTAGAGCAGTTGATAAGTGAATTTATGTAGTGAATATTTAGTGAAATTACTATGCAACCTACACCATGATACATCTCAGCTTGCAAAGGTAATTTTGAAGCAATGAATACATTATTAACAAATGTTTTCTTTTTTAAAATACTTTGGCTAAAGCCTTACATTTATCACCCAATAACTTTTTATTATACATTATTGAGTTATTATAAAGTTAAAGTAATAACAGAGGTGACAATTATAGTCAAGTGATTTCTCATTTTGCTGAAAATGAAAAATATGAAGTTGGTATGGTTGAACACCAAGTGTGCAGATGAACGCACGTCCCAGCTGAGGGGCCCTGGGAAGGTGGTTTGGCTTTCCTCCTCTTGCTCTTCCTCTATAAAAAGGAGGAAATAGAAACTATCTCATAAGGTCATATTGAGGGTAAATGGAAAAGGGTATTGTTCTTCAAATAGAAGCTGCTAAAGATAATTTTATTGTTGTGATTTTTTAATATCCATAAATTAATTTTGTGAAACAGTTGAACTAAAATTTTAACATAAACATTTTATTTTATACTTTAAATATTTTTATCATATAAACATGAGGTTTTTGTGACATGGCCATCATGTTTAAGTAACATTGTAATAAAATACGATTTTAATCAACACTTGGTATTTGTGAAAGCTTTTTTCTTAAAAAGCCCTATAAACTTTAGTTCTGAAACAATGATCTAATTATCTGCTTTATTTTACAAATGGATAAATGGAAACTCTCAGAATTAAAATTTGTCTCATCTTCAAACTACAACCTAGAGAAAAAGCTGAATAGTTAGATAAAAATAAATCTCAAATAAATTGATATTAGTTATCAAAATTTTATTTCAAGCTTTCCAGCAAGGGACAAGTCTTCATACAAATCAGATCAAAGCTTTTACTCTTGACAGTGATATATATAGAAGAAAAAGTAGAAGGAAGGGTCAGATGAGATTTTTAGACTAGATACAGTGGAGGAATGTCTGGTTAAAATTTTTAAGTGAAACATGTATTTGGGCGGGTGAATTCCATTCCCCAAAGATGTTCTTCATTGTATTAAATTCCATCAAAGGATTGCTCTTTCTTTTTTCTTCCCAGAAGAATCTTTAAAGATCATCAAATGTCTTTCCTTAAACACAAGGAATTTTTCCTTCTTAAGAAACTTCTTTGATGAAATCCTTGAAGATGCTTCACCAAGAGAAAAATTTTTTCCTGTATTCTGATTTTGTGCTAAATGTTTATGTAAATGTTACTTAGTTAAAATTTTTTCATCTGGATTTGGATTTTTAAACATGCAATTGAGCTTATATATATTTCAAATGCAATTCTATTCACTTATTCTCTCTCATTCTCCATATATATATATTCTAATGTATGTGATTAGAGAGGACATTTTATGGACAGATCCCATAGTCACTTCCTGTTCAGAGCAACATGTTGCACGGACTCTGGAAGTGGGCTTCACACTGTGATGTTCTGCTTCAATCTGTGTGTTCTCTCCACTTAGGTTACTATAGTAGCAGCTCTCAAACACAGAGAGACTCTCTGATTATTTGGTAAAGGAGTCTAGAGCTATAGGATGCAAGGCCAGGGAATTAGATTCTGAATGGTGTTTGCATATGTGATTGCTGCTATCTTTCTATGACTTTTACAATTGACATTATTCCCTTTTATACCTTGATGGCAAGTCATGAGGGCTGGCTCAGGTCATTTAAGTTAGCCTTTGGAGACAACTGTACTTGAACAACAAATAAAAAAAGCAAAAGTTAACCTTCGGTGCTTGCTGGATCACATTTCTTTCAAGGTCTTTCGGTGTGTTACAGTTTTTAGCCTGCCCTTAAATAAGTAGAAGTTTTACTACCTTGTAGACTGGGACTCAGTGAACTCTAATTTTTCTGAAAGGGTGCAAAGGCATTCTTTCACATATGAAGTGAAGTATTTATTCTCCAGTAATGGGCTTGTCATATCTAATTAAGTGAAATTTATCTTTCAATGAGGTAGCTCAGACTTAGTCAAGATAAAAGCTTGGTTTGTCCAATTATGTTCTGCCAGCAAGGACATTGACTAATATTTTAAACCTACACAAAGAACTATTTGCCATCCAAACTGAGTGGACTCATCATATTACTTACAGAATCAAGATAGGTTCAAGTATTAATGCATTATCTTCAAAATATGTTTTTATTGTTTACAAATGTACTGTTTTTAAAATAGAAAATTTAACATGAAGTCTCTTATTAGAGGATAGTTGTTGTTTTTTATAAAGCTTAACCCATTATAGACATATTCCTCCTAATTCTTGTAAGTATGGAATATTTGTAAGTTTCCCCTAATAATTCATAAATAGGTTTGGATTCACTGGAAAACACAACCCGAGGCAACAATTAGGCGCTGATAGTTTCTTCAGAAATGTAATTCCAGGGAGGCCTGTGTGAGGGAAAGGGCAGTGAGGCAGAGAAGGGACGAGGTCCAGTCCAGTGGGAGGCATGAAAGAGCCAGCCTCAGCCTCACACCCAACACTACCTGTTGATTGTGTCTCAAAGGCCAGGTAAGAAGATCCTGCACCTCGAACCCATCTGTGGAAGGATTAAAATGAAAGGGGAAGTACAACGTCTGCCTGGGTCTGTCTGTAGGAAATTAGCAGTAAAATAAAAATGACATGACCCTTACTTTCATGGAACTTAAAATTCAGTGAGGAATGAAAATGAGGGAAGCATATCAATGTAGAAATATGAAACTGGATGGCAGGCTGTTGTTTAAGGCTTAGCTTTTACACCTTCTGACTGATTTTCCCACTGGCTGGAGGTTGAATAAAGAAAAGGAGTGTCATAAGCAGATATTCATTTGCATCAAAAGATGAGTAGCCCTGAAATCATTGGCTTCCCTTCCCCACACCTTTCAGGGCACCAAAGTTTCCTGATTGTGTTTTTCATCCCCATGTTTCTAAGTGTGTAGATAAGAGGGTTGAGCATAGGGACAATAATTGTGCAGAATATAGACACTTTATCTCTGGTAAAGTTGCAGCTGGTCTCACGTAAACAAAGATGGTGGGTGCAAAGAAAAGAATCACACTTGTGACGTAAGAACTGCCAGTGGAAAGTGCTTTGTGGTGGCCTTCTGCAAAAGAAGTCGTCAAAACCCTGAAGATCC